GGACATGGACGACTGTGTTGCTGTGTTGTGGGGCTATCGCGAGATCCATCGTACAGCCGAAACGGTTCAGGTTTGGTGCAGCCAAGGCTGATGGGCAAAATATATATGTTGCCTAACCTGCCCCCCGGGAGGGGATTAGTGTCTATACAACCCCCCGGCTGTGTCTCTGCCCACAAGGCACCAATCGAGGCAGGACATGGACGACTGTGTTGCTGTGTGGTGGTGCCATCGCGAGATCTATCGTACAGCCGAAACGGTTCAGGTTTGGTGCAGCCATGGCTGATCACCAAAGTATATATGTTGCCCCAACCTGCCCCCCGGGGGGGTTCTTCTGAAGGAGACCGCGGGAGGCACAGGAGGACCCAAAACTCCTGGGCATGCACCCAACAAAGGGAGACCGAAGAAGGACGGCAAAGAGGGAGGTGGCAACCCTGCGGGCCAGAAAGGAAAACTCGTCAGAATAGGAGGATGAGGGACTTCAGCGACGTGCCACGGGCGAACAAGAGGAGAAAGAAAGCTGAAAGCTCCAGATACCAGCAGCTAACCAGCTACCCTTGTCCCGTCACTTCCACATGTGTTTACCTGACCAGTTATTTTCTTCTGCATATTTTCTTTGTTGCTATTTTCGTCGCTGTCCGCTGTTGCTTGGGGATATATTCGAGCGCCTTTGTTCAGACAGAATTTATGGAAACGGCTGGTATGAAAAACGACGTGTACCTTAGTCTGACTTGCACGTCGCAGGGACGACCGGGAGGCAACACGTTCGTGGCGGCGAACATACGTTCATCACCTATCTCTCAAAATGTTTACTTTTTTCCGTTTCGTTGTCGTCTGCGATTGTTTTCGATTGTTTGCGTTGTTGTTTTTTTAGGGCGAGACCAAACCAATGGGTCGATAATCCCTGATGTGATGAAGGTTGTATTTGCGCACTGTACAACGTATGTATACACATAGCGACCGTGCAGTGCTGCTGTGTGCTGTGTGTTGTGCGTGCATCATCTTTACACTTCTACTGCGGTTCTTGTGTGGCCACCGGAGCCTTGTACAGAGGTGCGAGGTCCATTGTGGGGTATTAGACACGCCCCACCCCCCCCCCCGCAGTGGCACATCCGTAGTTTACCCCACTGGTCGTGTTACCACCTGAACGGAACCCTTCGGGCTTAACGATGGGTCATACGCTAACCGTACCGCGAAAAAACACAGTTGAACATATCCTGTGTCGACTGAAGTCTTGTATGACGACATATCGCAAGCAACGCTATTGTACCCACCAGTGAGAAGGCAGTGTTCGGGTGTATATAGAGCCATGGGCCGGAATACTTGATGTGCTGGTCGCCTCACCGGCTGCCCGCTGCTGTGTGCTGTGCGTGCATGTTTGTCAGTCGATTGGAGCCTTGTAGGGCAACATGCAACTGGTGGGGTATTCAAGGCTATGTACCCTGGGTTGGGGCAACATATATACTTTGCCCACATTAGCCATGTCTGCACCAAACCTGAACCGTTTCGGCTGTACGATAGATCTCGCGATGGCCCCACCACGCAGCAACACAGTCGTCCATGTCCTGCCTCGATTGGTGCCTTGTGGGCAGAGATACAGCCGGGGGAGTGTTTAGACACTAATCCCCCCCCCGGGGGCAGGTTGAGCCAACATATATATTTTGCCCATCAGCCATGGCTGCACCAAACCTGAACCGTTTCGGCTGTACGATGGATCTCGCGATGGCCCCACCACACAGCAACACAGTCGTCCATGTCCTGCCTCGATTGGAGCCTTGTGGACAGAGATACAGCCGGGGGAGTGTTTAGACACTAATCCCCCCCCGGGGGCAGGTTGGGCAAACAGATATATTTTGCCCATCAGCCATGGCTGCACCAAACCTGAACCGTTTCGGCTGTTGTACGATGGATCTCGCGATAGCCCCACAACACAGCAACACGATGGTCCATGTCCTGCCTCGATTGGAGCCTTGTGGGCAGAGATACAGCCGGGGGGGTGGTTAGACACTAATTTAGACACGCTTTTTTTGTTTCCATCCACCGTCGGGCCGTGATCTGTCAGCAACGCAGTATACTCAGCCAGCAGCCGAATAAACCCGCGAAAAACAAACCAGCTTCAGACAGGCAACGCCGACGATGCTCGTCGGGTTGATTGATCACAATTCTAGGTAGTGAAGAAAGTAGGAAGAGCGCCTCCCCGGGGAGGGTAGACAGCGCGCGTTGAATGGCACACCAGAGAGGGCGCATGGAGTCGTCCCCAACAGGCTGTTGCGCGAGGGAGGGCATGAGTCGTGTAGATTATCAGTGTTTTCTTCTTTTGAAATGCAGACAGCAGAGTACAGTAGATGAGGTGCTCATAATATGTGGTTATTTGACCAAGTTTGTCGTACAACCTCGCCAAGGGGTGGGGGGGCCGTGGTCGACTTGTTTGCTGTAGAGTAAGCCCGGAGGGTTATGATGATGATGGTGTCTTGCCTTGATCTTGCAGTACGGCCGTTCGAATCATTGGTGATATGAGCGGCGTGAAGGCGTTGTGAGTTTCATAATAAAGTACGGGGTTTGATACGATGGCGGGTTTCCCCTTGTTTTGCATTGTTTTCGGAGTTTTTCCGGATGATATGATTTCGACGCACGGATGGTTAGTTGGTCAGGGTGGCCCTTGTGAGACACGATTATTTTCAGTCGGAAATCGAAAATCGAAATCGAAAATCACTGATTGGACAAAGCTCCAGTGTTCCGCCGCCGGATTTTTGATCTGGGGGTAATTGTTCCGAATATTCTCGGGTATGAAAAAATCAAAAGAGAGCACGAACAGACTCGAAATCGAAAATCGAAAATGCCAACCGGAACATCAAGCTGGCTTGCCACACCCTCGAGAATCATACATGCCGCCATTAGATACTCATCTACATAGTCACCTACAGGAGAGCACGGTATACTTTATTTGAGCGAGATCTGCTCTAAGTTGAAAGAAAGAGAGAGAGAGAGATAGCTCCGAACAACGGCCATGATCAGGCGGGGCTGGGGGTCTTTGTCTCGCATCGATACTCTGCGAGAACTCAGCGAGCAAGGTGTGATTGAATCCTGCGTGCTCATGTACAGAACGGGCCCGCAATTAAGAAAAAATCTGTTCAGAAAATGAGGCTCAAATGTTCGAAAAATAAGAAAAATAGGACTAAGAAACGCAGCTCAATCTCGACAACAACATAACAAACGTCCCAAAAAGAAACATGGCCGTGCGATACCCCCAAACATAAGAAACAAGGGGTAGCTGTGGGGAGCGTGGCCAATAAGAAACGTCCCACTGCTGCTGCTGCACTGCTGCCATGTTCCCACCCCCTACCTAGAATGTATTTTGTTTTTGTATGGGGGGAGAGTGAGTGGTTGTTTTCGCGGCGCCCCCCGCGCCCTCGGGCCGCCGCGGGCTGCGCTAACCCACTGCTGCTGCTGTACCGCTGTACCGCCACACATCGCGGAGAAACGAGAAAATATGAAATAAGAAAATAGTCTAAGCAGGATGCGACAGCCCAAAGGAATAAGAAATCTGTTTTAAGAAAATAGACGACACATCGGCTGGTCCTTCGACCCAAAACAAGGGATTGAGGCTAGACCCGATTTTGACCTTTCTTATCTCCGGACCCGTTCTGTAGGAAAGCCGAAACAGCTGCCGTTGAACTGCGTACTGTAGACGAAGAAATAATTTGACCGCGATGGCTCTCTATCGTTCGCTGTCTTAGATGCCGTGTGGCTTTCATGGTCATGGTTTGAATCATCGCAATTGGCATGTATGTGTACGGGCCTTGTTGCTCTCTTCTTCCGGATTGATTTTCGATTTCGATTTTTCGATGGAACATTTTGTTGACAAGGGCCACCCTCACTTTCGTGAGTACCTAAGGTGAGGGTGTTTGTGCGTGGAGGTAGATTGTTCGGGTTATATCGATACTGGCGGTTTCGTTTATCACAGATAGGAATGGCCTTGGGGGACATGCTAGGAGAAACTTTGGGATAACGAGTTGCGCCCCCCCTGCGACTGGTTTTCGCCTGGCACTCCTCCTTTGTTCTCCCTTCTCCTCCTCTTCTTCGTCTCTGATGTCGCCCCTACGATCTACAGTCATACATGCGGTGAACAGCACTCTGTGGACTCTGGAGCTCATACAACATGGGCATATACAAACACACACCCCGTCGGCGTGCGCAGATTGATGTTGAAACCATCTGCCGAACAGTGTCGCCTACTGTACTGTAAACCGCAGCAACCCGAGGTTCATGCGAGGCGCAGCTGAGAACCCTCTATGTGTGACCCAGAACCCGACAGCTATAGATAGGTCGAAGCGTGTGAATTGGCAAGAGTCCAAGATGCGGCAGCACCGTGCTATGTGCCGGCAACACTGCTGTATGTACACATGCACGCATGGACGTGGTATGGACGTATGAACGTACATGTGCATATGCAGGTGCACACGTGCAACACGTGCAACACGTGCACCCGAGAGTCAAGATCTCCGCATCTCCGAAAGCGATGGATCTCCGTTTCAATTTTGACAGTCCCGCCGGCTGGAAGAGGAGTGGCAAGGTGCGAGGTGCGAGGTGCGAGGGAAAGTGGAACAACAGTACTTCGGCACAGCACTCGCTTCGCATCGTGGTTTTCCAGCAACGTCGACGTGGTCCCTTCGCTTTCGTGCGGCAAAGTGATGCGGTGGGCGAGAGACGTCATCGCACCGCTTCTGGTCGCCTCGGCGCCGCATGACGCGGTGTGTTTCCCCGGGGGACATCAGTCTTCCCTCGGTGCACGGTGGCACTTTCGACATGCAGCAGGCAGAGTACATCCTTTTGATAGCTCGTTCTCGGCCAGGGGGGAGCTTGCTGAAAGACTGCGACATGATCTCAAGAAGAGTGGTGTACGGCTGTGGTCTGGCGTCGTGTTGACGATGAACGCAGGCAGCGCGCAAGAGAGAGAAGGTGCCCCCACAACCACGACGCCAGCATCGCCATCTACTGCTGTTATGACGAGGTACACCATAGATGTAGACGTGCACCCGGACGCCGCAAGCGTGGCCGTGAAGCATGCCCTCCAGCTTCCCCGGTTTCTGCATCACTATCCAATATCGTCACATACACAGGCCGCCTACCGCCACGCGGTCGATTTCGTGCTGGCGTTCCACCGTTCACCACAGGAACAGCAACAGCGATCCCCTTTGCCTGTAGTCCTGGATTCTGGCTGTGGCACTGGGCGTTCTAGCGTCTTGCTCGCCAGATCTTATCCTCACCTTCCCGTGATAGGAATCGACCGGTCTGCAGTCCGGCTTTCCAAAGGAGGAGGAGATGCGGGAAAGCGGGTTGAGGAGCACATGCATCAACACAACAGCTCTACAAGACAAGCAGGCGCGGAGCAGGGCAGAAACGACCGCGTTGACGCACGAAGAGCTCACGGTAGCTCAGGCGAGAAGAACCGCCCCCCTTTGCAGAAGAAAGGCAACCGTGACAATCGACTTAGGGAGCCTCTTCCGGAAAACCTTCTACTGCTGCGCGCGGACCTTGTGGACCTGTGGATACTGGCATCGAGGGAAAACGCTTGGGAAATCAAAGAACACTACATCCTTTACCCCAATCCGTACCCGAAGCGCTCCCAGCTACGATCACGGTGGCACGGTCACTCTGTTTTCCCGGTCCTACTCAGCCTTGGTGGGGTGATAACGCTACGCTCCAACTGGAGGACGTATCTGGACGAGGTCTGCCAGGCAGTGCTGGCCATCAATGGTGCAGCGCAGACGACGGAGGGCGAGGGAGACTCGGCTGCCGATGAAGGCGGGCTTGGGGATCTGGAGTCAAAGAGGACGAGCAGCGGGGGCAAAGACGGTGCCGGAGAAGTATCTGGGACGGATGCAGCTGTCGCATCAGCAGCCGTGTCCACGAAGCTATCGGCGACCGAAAGCGACGACAGCGCAGAAACAACCGGTGGGGACGTGAGTTTTGGCATCGGTCGAGCTTTGATTGGCGATGAAAGTAGAGCCGAAGTTCCGGCTACCGTCGCTGCCGCAGCCGTCTCTTACGCGGCTAGCGCAAGGGCGGGCCCCTTGACCTTTGTTCCAGCAGTGCCTGCTGCAACAAACTTCGAGGCAAAGTATGTTGCAGTCGGTGAGACGGTGTACGAGCTTCGGCTAGAGCCGAAACTATCGTAGGGACTCCAGGTTGGCAACTTCAGTTGCTCCATCGTTTGGCAGCAATGCGATGTATTACTGGGGAGGGGAATGTCGAATATATCACGGTACCTACGGTGAGTCATGCAGAAAATATTGCTTCACGCTGTTTCCTAGCCCGCGTCTTCGCTATTGAAGGCTGGTGTGACCCCTTGCTTCTTCTCCCAGTGCCTGCCGGCTGTTTAGGTTTGTTTTAGCAGGTACCCTCACACTGATGCTTGTTTCCGTAGAATTGAGATGCTGATGGAGACGTGCAGCTGGGGTGATGCGCGTCAAGGGTCGATGGCAGTGTATACTAAGATGTACCTGGGTTACACTTGTCCAGTTAGCTGAGTCTGAGACACTTCAATGATCTTTTCCTTGTCGAACGATGTTCAGAGCTTCATTTTGATTCGCGGCACATCTTTGCACCTTCTCTTGGAGCTATGCGGCCTCCGGACAAAGACTTACTTGGCAGCATGCCCTTGTTTCCGTCACAAAAGGTTCCTTCTTGCCTTCTCTTGCGTCAAGGGAGGTCAGCGTGCATGTCGTGGGTGGCCTCCCATGAACGTTTCGCCAGATTCGTGCGATGCCTATGCGATTCAAAAGGACAAGGTTGGGTGAGATGCAATACACACGTGCGTCCAGGCGATTTGTGGTTTATTGGGTTGCTCTACCATCGCAGATGCTGCCTTTCGCAAAGAGTGCTCTGCGCGTGTGTGACGTGTTTCGTCTCACGTCAAGGCACCCCGTCAAGGCCAGAGCGAGACCTCACTCCCTAGATCGATATTCCAGTTTTGCTACTGTGATGTCGTTGTCAATTGATAGCTGCGGAATGGTTGTGGTAGAAAGGGTATGGAGCAAAAGCCAGTTTGCACTGATCATCCTTTTCCGCGCGAGAGTGACAACAAGTCTAGTACAACAGGTTTTTCTTCGGGCAATAAACATAGTCAGGCCGAGTCTTGAGCACCGTTCTTTTCGATGATTTATTTTCTCTCTCGCTGAGGGGGGGGGTGTCTGCAAGGGAAAAATAAATCAGATCCGAGCGACCTTCTTACGGTTCCTCGAGACATATTTTTTTCCCGGCCGAAAAAAAAGGCCGGTGCACGATTTTGTATGTCACAACATGTTTCAGTTCACGGTTTCGGCTCGTGTGCGACAGCCAAGAAACAGAGCGCCCTGTTGTGGGGTCGCCTGCAGAGGGCATGTGTATGATCGCACAAAATTGGCTGCGGTTTGTGGATGTCGTCGGCCAAAGGCCTCTCTCTGGCATGCGTTGTGGACTGATCATACTCGGAGCAAAAAATATTAAAGGGCAAAGTCCAACAAAGTCAACACCGAAAGACACTTCGGTACACTTTTGCAGGCCGTGTGCAATCAAAACAGAACCAAACGCCCTGTTTCTGGGGCGCGACCAGAGGGTATGTGTATGACCAAACGTCATTGGCTGTAGTTTGTGGATATCGTCGGCCTTAAGCCCCTCTCTGGCGTGCGTTGTTGACTTTGTCACACATGCAGCAGGAGCAAAACTGCTCTTTTCGGCCGAAGGGCAAGAACATAGGGAGCAGTGTGGCAGGGTTGACGTTTTCGACCCGTTTGCGGCCAACAGGACGCAGAACCCTCTTAAGTTTTGGTACCTGCAGAGGGTTTGTGCATATGATCTCACACGATACTGGCCTCTGTTTGGGCAGCAGACGGTGTAGTTTCCTCGTTCTGGCACGTTCGGGGTGTGACCGCCCGCCCCATTTCTAACCTGGAAAATATCAGCCGATCCAGATAAAACGAACCTATTTTCTGACTTCGCCAGCTGGAATCCTGGAAAATGTTCGGCCAGTAGGAATTTGGGCTCTAGGAAATTGCCATTTTCCTACGCGTAACACCGCTTTTTATCGCAGCAGGAAGTTGCAAGGAAAGTTCATGTTTTTTTGCAACTTTGGTCGGGAACTTTCGTCAATGGAACTTTTGGTGCACTCTCTTTATGGGATGAAGAAAATTTTGTGAACGGGACTGGGGGAATGCGGAGGCGTGATGTTAGTGTTTTTAGCAACGGCGAGAAGCACGTACACGCCTTTCATATCACACAGCAAAAAAACCGGCCAGAGCGTGCGGAAGAGGGCAGCTACAGCATTTTTTCTCCACACTCACGATACCCCAAGGCATCTACGCTGGTACCAGAAATATGCTGGGTAGAGCTAGCTCCCTCGGGGTGGCATTGCTGTTGCTGTTGTCTGCTCCGTCGAATAGGTATCGCTGGAAAACCAACCCAGCACACAATCCCCGCGAACTTGAACCAACCGCTCTCTGACGTGGGTATGTTTTGTGCCAATCAACACTTTTCCCCCCCGGCACGCACGAAACCCCACGGTAGCATAACTTGGGCATGAAAGAGGGAGCAGAGAGCTACCTCCCGCCGAGTGGCCTTGCTATTGCTGTTGCTTCCTCCTTCGGAAAGTTATCGGTGGATAACCAAACTCGCGGCGGTAAAAAACAATGAACATGAACAAACCGCTCATGGCCGTTGACGGTCGTGCACAGCACAATATTTTTTCCCGGTGCATTTGGCACCTCACGGTGCCAAACCTTGGCATTGCCCAACAGCCCATGGCATCACCTCCTTCCAGATACCATTCATGAGGCAACTCGTTATGTATTCGTCGAGATATCGGGGATCACGGCCTTCCCACAATCGAAGCTGGAGAGGGTCTACGTGTGTGGTACACGAACCTATGCGTGATTTCGCAAAAAAATGACTTTTCCGTGTACTCACAACCAACGTTTATCGAAAAGTAGTGCCAGGCCGAGTATTTCCCATTTGTGTCTCACTCCCGTTCTGATCATTGTGGTCTAACCAACTTTGAGACAAACCAAACGGCTGTCCTTCATGGTATCAACGGGACCTATCATACCGACAAGTGTGCTTTTCTGTTGCAATGTACTAGAGTGATTCCCGCTCAGAGGAACCTGCACTCAGGCTCGGAGGTTGAATATTCTCAACGCTTCATTATTTCGCTTGTGGGTCAAAAAACAATCTGAAAATGGCACCTGGACAATCGCGGGAGTAGCGCATAGCGTCAACGGCGGGCGGGAAGAACAAAACACGCCAGGCCTACACATGCGAGAGGAAAAACAGATAGTAACACCCGAGTACGACTGCGCCTCAAAGGTACTTCAAGTAGCAAGCACTAAACAACGCTATTTAGCACGGCTCTACTCGTTGGAGCCCGCTAGCGGCGTGTTTCATGTTTCTCCCTGCACATCGTGGAATACGTGGACAAAGTGCTTCATGTCAATCGACGAACGACCAGCAACACTTTTCATCATCGTCACCCTTTCGTGCGGGTGGGCATTGTGCGTGCCACACTGGCCTCGAGCAAGCTAGAACAAGACACGACCGCAGTGTCCCACACCACTTCCGCCGACAAGGGTGCTCTAGTCGGGCGTGGGGCGTTAGGCCGCCCAGAGGTCATTTCGTGATTGTTCTACTGTGCGTTCCCGGGGCAATCTTCACCCATGTAATCTTTCCGGCGTGTCCTTCCCTGGCGTGGTCGTCCCTTCTGTGGGGTCGGCGGCTGTCGCCGCAAGGGCAGCCGTGGCACGACCGCCGGAAGACACACAGGTACCGGTAACCAGGGGATCGACCGCGGGCTCTGAGTTGAATGCGCTCACCGGTCGGCTCCGTCGTCGCAGGACGAAGAAGCAGTCGCCGTCTCGAAGGGCAAAGCTCGCACTAGGGCTGTTGATCGCCACGTACCGCGACCCACCCGGGCAGCGCCATCGCTCGCGTCCACCCATTTTTCTGGGTCCTCGGCCGTGGGTCGGCGGGCGATGAAGCCCCAGAGCCAACAGGTCTCGGTCTTCCAGGAGCAATCGGAAGGCCTCTCCGTACGTTACAGGGCGTATCCGACTCCTTCTTATGTCGCCGTCGCCGCGGTTGTCATTGTTGTCTCCGACCGCTGTTCCTCGTGCATTGGGAGAGTGTTCGGGCCACAGGACCTCGATGGGGACGCGAGACACGAGGTGCATGACGTCGCTCATGAGAGACTGGATGTCGGGCGCCAACATGGTCTGAAACCCAAAACGGAGCGGGAGGATGGGGCCTGGGTTAGGGTGGCGTCGTATCGTGGCATGAAACATAGCGGGTGGGGGTGTGGGAAGTCCAACACACGCAAGGGCGTGATTAGATTGTGGTTCGTTCATCCAACACTTACCGCACACGGCCATCGTTTTCTTCGGAAGGATATGGAATGGTTGGTGGTAAAGAAATCGCGTTGATCGAACAACAATCACCAGTCTCCAATACAGCTCGGTCAGGCTGCCCTTGATGCACAACGAACACGAGCTCGTCCAAAACAAGTTTGGTTTTCCAAATCACCTGAAGCAAGAGAAGCTCGGCGGCATTGCCGACGACGACGTCCCCGGACACGTACCCTGACATGGTGCCGAAAAAATCGTCAAACCCCTCGCGCACCACGCCTCGAGTGTCGTCGAAGTAGACCCCGCCCCCACCAACCCCAGACCTGGCGCTGTAACCGAAGTCTACCGAGTCTTCCACCGTCGTGCCCGCATTCTCGTTCCTGGGCGCATCGCGCTGCTGTTGAGTAGCTCTATCTGTCTGCTCTTTCCGGCCGTCGAATAAGTTCTCCTCTCCCTGCTTTTCTCCGCTTTCTGCGGCGGCCCGTTCCCGACGCCCGGTCTCTTGCGCATCTTCTCGCCGCCGCACGTGCGCGCTGATGACCTGGTGCTGCTCGGCGCTGGCAGAGTCGTCGAACCTCACCACCACCCGCGTCGACTCCGGCACCAAGCCGAGGACGTCGACGACCACCCCCATGGCCCACACGTCCGACCCTTGCCCCCGGCCGCTGTGGTCCCCGAGCACGTCGCCGTCACCGCCGCCGCCCCCGGTCTTCGGCGTAGTCGGTTCGTCTTCCGGCCGGCTGGACACGACGCAGACAAGGTCGGCCTTGTCCGCGCCCACTTCGAGCAAGCACTCGTACTCGGTCTCCCGCTTGACGAGTCGGACGCAGGGGAAACGGGCCGCCAGCTCTCGTTCTGCGCGCTCGTCGGCAACCGGGTCCCACCAGGTCGGGGAACAGACAACGCTCAAGGCTGGCGAACCCTCGACATCAAGATCATCGTCGGCCTCGCACAGGGAGAGGACCACTCCCAGCGCGAAAGACAGCGACTGAGCGATCACGAGAACGGCCCCCGGTGGAGTTCCAACGAGGCTTTCGCCGAGGGGAAATACCGAGGGTGTGGAAGCGCCGCCCCCCGCGTCGTGGACGTCGGACCAGATTGTGCGCTCGAAACGACCGTCACCGCTCGAAGCATTCCTTTGCCGGTTTTCCTGGGTCCCATGCTGCCGATTACCGACCGGCGGGTTTTCCGCCACGAGGAAGGCGTTCTCGACCCAGCCCTCTCGCCGGAGAGACGTTCCTGATGCCTTCGATGGGGCCGCCGTAGCGGCCGCTCCAGACGTTGCCCTTCCGGTGCAGTATCGTGCCAAAAGGTCAGCTGACTGTAACATCGGAGAGGGGAACGTGTGCGGCACACGGTGGGCACTTTTCGACCGAGGGAATTGCTAGAAATCAGAGGGGGGAACGGATGCGTCAGCCCTGACACATAATGCCACAAAATAAAAGGATCGTAACAAAACGGGGAGGTAGGGAACGACAACGCGGAACATGGTGGGCGGGTGTCAGACAAATCCGGGGCATGGAAGTGACAATCGCTCTTTTTTTAAACGATCGCCCGACATGCTGTTTCGTGTTAGTCACATGTAAGAAGGTTTTGGTCGGCCATACACTGCCGCACAGCATTCCTTCAGGACTAAACCGTAGCGACTAAACTTGGCTCATCTTCCAGGTCTTATTCTTGGAAATGACAGGGGTCAAGGAACTGGAATTCATCGTGGGAAAGTCCGTCCGACTTGGAGAGCGTGCAGGCCAATCTCATATTGAAACGAGTTGGTGCGAAATCCTCTCTGAATTGGGTGGCCTCATTTTCTTGGGGGACGCCTCTTGGAAGGTCGACACCGCACTGCCCAAAGGTTGGCTTTCAGCACAACCAACTTGAAGCAAAAAAAGCGGCTATTAGCACAGAGGCGTTGAGTAGCGCTACAATATACGCACAGGACTGAAGCCAACCGTAAGCTGAGAAAAAAAAAACTCTCCCACCCGTAACCGCTGCTCCGTCCTCTCGAAGACGCGTGGTCATGGTCGAACCGCTAAGGCATCAAAAGCATGAGTGCCCGCCCCGCGCCTACCCGTTACCGCTTCACTCGCTTCGTCCCGACCCCGCCACAAGCCCGCACCTCGTGGTTCGCGCTGATGAACACGCCCACGTCATCCTTCGAAATGATGGTTCCATAATCCGGATGCACTCGCACGCAGCGCCGCCTTCGCTTGCCTGCCCCGCACTTGACTCTGCTCTTGTGGCCGCCAGAACCTTTGGGGTTGGAGGGGGGGGGGGAAGGACCACTTGATCTCCCGGAAACCTTGTTGGCGAGGTATTATCGCACAACTTCTCGGGTTGGGTGGTGGGAGTCTGTGCATAGATCATCATTGCTTCCATGCCTATTTCCATAGGTCAATGTGCGCTGGGCGGCTCGTGCGCTGGGCTGCTCGGGTCTTGGTGAGACTCTCTTTGGTACAGACGGGAGAGAAAAATAGCATGCCCCGCTGAACTCACAGATGTTACAGATGAGGGCGAACAGGATGCAGCCGCACTTCTCGTGAAGCTCGATCGCCGCGTCCCCCGTGCACTCTCCGGCGAAGCAGGTCAGTCGAAACCGCAGTGTTACTCGCCGCAAAGACCGTAAGTACTCCTGCGTTTAGTCCGGCGTTGGTATTGTTTTATGTACGGCGAGGGCAACGCCACGACACCCGGACGCAAGAGCGCGACGGAGGACTAGGGTCAGTGTGCGTGCCACAAGTGTCCCACGATAACTCGTGTTGTTTCGAGTGCGGTTCACTTATCAACGGCTAGGGTGTTGCCTCAGAACAAAGACAACCCCAGGCCACATGACGCAAGAGACACCGTGAGAAAGAGAGAAATGAAGATTCCTGCAAAGCCACAACCCCGTGATAAAAAATCCTGACCAGCTTAGTTTGCCCCCATGCGCGGAGAAACATGTTGACAAGCATGCCCCATGGTTACCGTAGACCCGCACAGGCACCTCGCAGGCTCGTTCGTACGTGCGACGAACTTCACGGCGCACCGCAGAGCACAACAAAAACAACACTTGAGGCAGTCAAGTCAGAACGGAGTTACAAGCGGAAGGGCGGGCGGAGAAGGCTCACTGTTTCTGTCTCAAACAACGCCGTCGATTCCGGGTCTCTGGTCACATCCTGCTCAGCCCCTCGTGTTTTGAGCAGATAGTCGGCCTCCGGCATGCACGACAGCATGTTGGTCCATACCGTGGAAAAGCCCGGGTTCTGGTGACGGTCGACGATTTAAAATCGCCAGAACGAAAACAACGCCACAGCGCAGAACGGAAAAACAGAAAGGCGAATTGCGATGCGCGTCGAGCGACACAGACGAGGGCACGGCTTTTATTCACAGCATATCTACGACAGGTGCCTGGGCATGGCATACGCCCCACAAGGGGCAGCCAATTCAGCAGCAAACGTGATTCCGGTCTGGAAACGCTGTGCAGAACACAAGTAGCCCCTTTCTCATGAAACAGCGCCAGGACTCGAATAGGGCATGGGTGGACCGGCACCACCGGCACCAAAGAACAATGTTGCTCCTTTCCACCGGCTGCAGAACGGCTGGTACGGAGCATGTCCCAGATTTTTGTTGTGTACCCTGAGCACCGCTACTGCTTCCTCTCAAAACAATTTCAGGCTACAGGTGGAAAACACACGAGCGTGAGCACCACAAGTTGTCACGTGCGTTTGCACCCTATAGAGCTCTGATGGTGGCAAACTACCCTGTGTACCCCATTGTGCAGTGCTCCCCACTCCCCTCTCCCCCCTCCACCTTCCGCGTCCCTCCGACTAGAGGCAGACGCAAGCAAAAAATGGCGAACGAGAAAGACATCTGGAACGAACCTTGGCGACAAAACGAGCACCCTTCCAACCGCGAGGGAGGCGCGCTACTACGAAATCAAATGTTTCCTTTGCACCCAACTTCCTCAACACGATCACCCCAGCTCAAAAACCAACCTCCACTCGACGTAGCACTCACGAGGCAGGCCTGGGTGACGAGCCCTTCCATCACTTCGTCGTAGCAGACCACGGAGGCCTCCGGCATCCCGAGCCTCACCAGGCGGCCCTTGGACCTACTGTGCGTAACGAGGCAGAGGACGGACGACCCGGGGGGCGACGCCTGATTGGTGGAGAGGGCCCGCAACAACGCCGTCTTGTCCTGCGCCTCCGTGTCGTTGGCGAGGCGGTCGCTGAGAACGAAGCACGCCCGGGCGTTCGCGACCCTCGCCCGGCGCAAGTCTTTGGCGGAGCTGAAGGGATGGTCGACGGGATCGGGTGCGTCGTTCGTTATATGGCAAACAAACGGGGAGGGGGCGTGGGGCATGTTTGGACATGGGTTGAGCGAGTTGGTCACAGGAGCAAGCGGGAATCAGCACGCCCTGCCGAGGTAGCGGTAACGGTTCTGCGATGGCCAAATAGGGCTGCATTCGCCAGGTGCACGGGCTGTAGAATACAGAGAACAGAACCTGTGTACCTTCTGCCATGCACATGAAATAGGCGGCACAGAGTAACTGGGCGCTAAATCCTTGACCTAGAATACATAGAGCCCGGCACACGGACAACGGGAGACAGCGTTCACCTGGGCATACACGCACACACCTGAGATCGCCATTCAGGTACGTGACCGCGAAGGACGGCTGCAGGCACAGCAGCGCGTCCCACGCGAGCGTCGGCTCTTGCGGGATGACGAGCACCACGTGCTCATGGTGGTAGGCCATCGAATCCGCGGCCAGCAGGTCGCGGAGGAGCACGCTCACCACCCGGAGGCAGCTTGCATCGCAGCCTACCTGAGGGAACAAAAATAAAAAGGAAAACACAAAGAAACGCAGCGTCAACGAAAACGCTAGAGCACAAGCAAAGGGCACACGTACACAATGACGGGGGCGGGGAAGGTGGGGGATTCGACTACGGGGTAAATACGTGTTGGGGTTAATGCGTGAGGGCCAACGTTGCGTGGTTCAGCAACAGACAGAGCAGTTGCGGCGGGAGTTTACAAAAACGTCATGCACGAAAATAGCAACAAGAAGTGCGTTCGGGGACGGGTCGTGACAGCGTACGACCGCTGCACGGACCGCCCGGAGGGTGTTACACTTCAGGTACCGGCACGTGCCATCCGCGATCGGTTCACCACGGCTACAGGTATCGATACGTTGACGAGTGTGCCCGAGAAAAACAGTAAAACAAAGGACCGTTGAGCCTTGACAGCGCCCAACTATTGCTATTTTTTTATACCTCCGCTCAAACCTGTGGCAGCCTTGCTGATAGGCGCAAGGTCTGTCTGTCTGTCTGTCTGTCTGTCTGTCTGTCTGTCTGTCTGTCTGTCTGTCTGTCTGTCTGTCTGTCTGTCTGTCTGTCTGTCTGTCTCTCATCCAGTCTCTGCATCTTTGTCGGGTTGTTTGTCTGTCTGTCTCCGTCCACATAGCTCTCACCACGATGTGACCCGTTCCCCAGCTCTTAGAGAGGCAGCCACCGTGCTTGGGAGTGAGCTTCGTGAGATTCACGAGCGCGTTGGTCACCAAGGGAACGCAGAAGAAGAGCGTAAGGATGAGACCCGTGATTACCACCCGGCTAAGGGCAGTAGACGGGCTGATGTCGCCGTATCTGGGGGGAAGGCACATTTGCGGTATGGAAACGGCCCGGAAGGTCGGGGTCAGGTCAGATAGCGTGTGAGGGTTAGAGAGTCTGGAGACGAGATCCGGTCGTCTAAGCGCCAGGCCGCACGCGCAGACAGCGTAACACCCAATAACACCCAACGCGCCCGTAGTGAACTTGGACTTCGCGATGTGTGTGCGTGAGATCCCGCCTGCCGACCCGCCGGCAGTGGTGGAGAAGAACGCCATTTTGAAGGGTCTCGATCGCACGGTCCTCCTTTTGCCCGTTCGTTGTATGCAACAGACTACTTTTCTAGGTACCTCGGGTCAGCAGACCTCGTTTTTCTGACCGAACCTTGGCGAGGGACACGATGTTCGCACCTCCGGCACTATTCCGTCATTTTTCGGGTGGGTGGGAGGGTGGGCGAGACACCCCTCGCTGCTTCGCCTGCGGCCCGAGAGAAGACCACCACGATATGTATGCTCTCGCGCGTGCGCTTCTCGCCTGTTTCACACTGATTTCATTGTCGCTCGCCACAGAATAACAAGCTGCCGGCCTTCTTAGTGATACGAAACCATCCATATTGCTATCCAGCGTTCCATATCCATACCTCCTCACTCTGCATTCGTGCCGTGCTGCTTACCCTACGGTGGAGAAGGAGACGACGACGAAGTAGAGAGCCTCGTGAAAGGGCATCCTGCCGTACCCCAGGCCCCAGTCGGCGTCTTGGACGACCACCAGGAAGTTCGTCAGCCCCGCCATCGTGAAGATCACCAAAACGGTCTTCAGGCTCCAGCGGACCAGCTGAGAACGCAGCACAAGAAGTTGCCTGCGACGGTGGCACCGATGATGAAAGAGTACGTTATGGTCTGTGGTGTGGAGTCTTCGGGGCTAAGTTGTTCGGAACAGCGTCGCTAGAAGCATATGGGGAGATGTGCGGACCGAGCGAGGGGATAGGGCCGGAAAAAGAGAGCAGGGGGAGGGGTTCGGGTGGCAAAGTTTTGGCGTGTTTCCGAGTCGTAACTCAGAGGAGGGTGGAGTTGGCACCGACTGTCGCGGTGACGATAGACGCGGTGACGATGGACCAGGAGACAATTTCGCAAAATAGGGTCCGCAATGGTGCAACCGCTCCGATGCCCCTCTGCACGCAGTACACCCGCAGCCGGAAACGAGGTCTATGAAACTCATCGCACGGATGGGGCACATGCAACATGCTTCCAGTGCCGTAAACAGTCGAACGACTCCGACCACCGGGGGCACGCGCGCACGCAAATTCCCACACTCGACCCATCAAGCAAACCTATTGTCGAACCTTATCACAAGGTCGAGCACGAAGAAACGAGGCATCACCACGAGACAGTACCACGCGACGCTCACAAGTCGCCCACATTCCCACAAAACACAACAAAGCACGCCGAACCCAACCTTCATTTCGCACATATGTACACACACCCATAGGTACACAAGACGCACCTCGAGTGGTCGAAAGCCAGCGAGGGTCCCTGCACGAAGAACGAGATGGTCACCAGCAGCCTCGCCACGCGGATGACCCGGGTGATCTTCAGGCCGAGGTAGGCGTCGGCGAACCCCCCGTCGGACGTTCTCCATCCGTCCTGCGGTCGGCGGTCGGTGGACGGTACGGTAGTCGGTGCCGTTTGCCCGTTTTCATCAACGCGTAGCACACACGAGTGTCCCATTTAGTCACGAAAACAAATAGAACAACGACCAAAAAAGCTGGATGGAAGCAACGTTCCGTGTGGCAGGCCATAACATGTGTGGTCGTTTGCCCATGAGGGGAAAATCTTTTCATCACCGCGGTATGGCCTATTGTGTCGCATGCAAGTGTTTGGATCTCCAAGGCTAAAGCTGGCTGCGAATGATTATCCTGCTAGAGGGAGGGGGCGTCTCACTCACGTTCATGAACAGAATGAGGTAGGAGGGAAAGACTGTGACGATATCCACCACCGCTTGGAGAGACACCAGGTGGGTCAGCTTGTCAACGGCGAGGTAGAGGTGCAGAAGGAAGTTGAACAAGAAAAACCTGCATGGGTTTTCAGACGGCCCACGCCACCAGCAAAAGGATTGAAACCGCGGAGACAGAAGGACAGAAGAAAAGCGACGGTGGATCATCAGACAAGAGCACGGACGGAGCTTAGGAGTTTTTGAGGTTCTGCACCTCGACTTCTTCATGGCGTTGACGTCTGGAAGCGTGACGAAAAGCAACCAAAAAGTACAGAAAGCAAGACGACCTGGAATCGACGGCCGATGTCAAGGTAGCACCGAGCCAAGTGCTCTTGGCGCTAGCCGTAAACTCTTGGGTTGCTCTTGTTGCCTCGTCCACTGCATGACTCTATTTCCAATCGACTCGACCCGTCCTTCTTTCCCTTTCTGTTCAACCTCCCTCTACTCACCCGTTAAACACCATCTCCATGGAGAAAGACATCACAATGAAACCATCTGTGTGAAACGTACAAGGCCGTCAAGAATCGAGAGAGGACGAAGGAGGGTCGAGAGAGAGAGAAGGAGAGAAAGCGAGAGAGAGCGAGAGAGACAGAGAGAGACAGAGACAAGGAGGGTGTGAGAAAACGCTGTTCTCGGTTTCAGCCATGTGCTGTACAGGAGGATGGCACCAATTCGGTGCGTCGAGAAGGAACGACGGCGCGGCAGCCGGGTTGCTTAAACGTCACCCCCGGCAGCGGCAATCCGCTTGTCCATCTCTCGCTCCCCTCTCCTCCCCACCTCCCGTTGCAACTTGCCTGACAAAACAAGGAAAACCTACATACGACGTCAAAATCATCGTTCTGTCCTACTCTCTCTAATAAACTTTTTCCCTCCGGAAAAATACGATCAGCCCTGTGTTTGTGTCATCCCCTTCATTCTGGAAAGTCAGCTTACACCTTTCGTGTCCACCATTGTGTTTGGTTTCGTACCAGCAGGGGTCACACCCGAGGAATGCAAAATGGAAGGTGTGCTTTCTCCACTTTCCTTCTGCAATTGCTGGTCTAACCTTTTGTCGCGAGAAGCATGCAGCGGTTCCTTAGCCTCGTCGACCGTGACGTCAAAAGTTCAGCGTACACGCGAATCAATTGCTGCCGCGTTATGTTCAGGCGAAATGTGAGTAAATAGCCATATTTGTGATTGCGCAACCAACTGACCCACTGGGGCGACCTATGCATGAAACCTGGGGGTCCTGCTCCTCAAGAAAAATAGGTGAACACATACGCCAACTGAACGTTGAATACATCTCTTTGGTTGTCACACTCAAACACTCTCGCCACGGTCGTTGACTCACAGTTATTCCCGAAGGAGTAGGTTTCGAGCACGAAGAGTACGCATGTCGCCTTCGTTGCGGGGTGGTGGGTATGACGTGTCAACAAGATCCGATCGGAGACGCGTGGAGCATGAGACGAACGGGGATCGGGGTCGATGAACTGTTGGTCCAAAAATACGGCAGTTTTCCAACAAATAACGTACCGTAACTCGAACTTGAGGCAACACCTTGTTAGCCACGCTTTGTTAAGGATCAATTGGGGCGAGCGCGGGGGCGGGGGGTGCGTTCACGTTGAACTATATCCGTTCTCTGCATGCTGATGAAACTTGCCTTGAAACATGGTTTCCTCGCAATGTACCAATAACCAAGGCCTGGGGAGCGGTTGTGTTCTAGTGGCAGTTCCGTAAATGTCAAAACACTTCCATTAGTACGTGCGAAAGCCCGCGAACATTGCGAACGGATACTCCCAAATGTTGGAAATCTTTCCACAACGCGGCACGGTGGACCTTGTGTTCGTGTGGTATGTACGCCTTAGGCTCACGAGGACATCTACATGTAGTGACCTTCACCGGGCCCACAGAGGACGAGATTCAGCCTAGTTTACACCATCTACAAAAGGACAAAGCCCATACCGTCCTATTTTAACCTCCCGCGGATTGAGCCGTGATGATACGGCCCAGCAGGTCACATCAAGGCGGATGTTAAAACGGCGCACCGCTCTTGAGCGAGCGACAACCGTATCGCACGCACGGCAGGACAACCGCGGCGGAGGTGGCGCGGAATACGCGCCGCGTTTAAGAACGGCCGCGTAGTTACGAAAACTCCCGGCTCAAATTTTCGCGAAAGGCTGTACAAGTGTAATCGGAACACAGCTCAGCGGCGAATCTTACCCTAAGCTTTTCACACTGCTTTATAGCAACCTATGCTCGACAGTGGCAACGAAATAAGCAATTGAGCCAACCCGATGTTGATGTTTTTTACCTCCGGGCCTGTTCTTACATGGACAGCACTTGAACGAAAAATGTCCGCCCGTTTTCCAGCAAGTGAACGAATTCGGATGGCACGTCGAGAAAGCATGGACGAGCGCAACGTGCACAACTTGACACGCATGTACGATACTTCAATTGCACTCACCAGACTGAAAAGGGCGTTGAGTATCTCGATGAAGAGGCCACACCTCGACGTTGTGATGTGCCGGTTCAATCTGAAATCATCGTGAAGAACACCAGGAAGAAATGGATGCTCGTGCTTGTTGAAAATGCGGGAACGTCACGTATCCATGAGTCTAGCCCACTGCTGTTCCATGACTAGGAAAAAAAAAAAAAAACGAAAAAAATAAAATAAAATAAAATAAAATAAACGCAAGAAAGACTACCCGTTCGACATATACCCACAGTCGAACGGGATGTATGATGTGTTGAAGGAGTCTTTCTCAGTGAGTGCTACATGAAATGCATGAACCCTTACATAAAAACCGGCCAGTCAAGAGCCGTCTATAAAGAGGCAAATAATTAAGCACGACCGCATCGGAGCAACCCTGGCACAGAACCACACGCAATGAACCGGACCTCTAGCACGACGCTTGGCGACCTCAAGGACCACGCAACGTTTGTGTGGTCACTCTTGTGGGCACGTAGGCATGCAAAGGACGCGACCGGGCGGACAACATGGAGCGAGAAAAGACAGGGAGTACGTACCTGTTCGTGTAGGGGACTTCCCCATGTCGGGGTACTGAGAACAGCACGTAGGAGAAGTAGCAAAAGAACACCAAGAAGCTGCCAGCTGCGGAGAGGGTGACCGGAGTCTCACTGGCCGCACCGCCCATGGTGCTGATCGACGAGATCTGAGATCTTCTCGCTCGCTGTGAGCTCTCGCCAACACTGAACTGGCTCTTCGCACCGCGGAGGTGTGTACTGCTGTGCTGTAACCCTCCCTGCCGTTGAGCTTCGCAGGCAAGTAAGATATTCCAGTCAAGCGCCGCTCACGACAGCAGCTCCCATGCTTCTCTTAAAGCACACACCCCCCTGCCGAGTTGTAGGCGAAACAACACACGAACAACGGTCCACACGCAGAGAGATCGAACATTTGAAAACACCAATGAGCGGTCGCAGTGACGTGATGCTATCCAGTGTTGGTCATGCCGCATAATAGCACCCCCCCCCTTCCAGACGAGTACAATTCGCGGTGCCCCCCCCGTTGCTCCTTGTGCTCCTTGGCCATCTCCGACGACAACAAGCACAGCGAGTGCTCCAGTCCACGGAGGTCGTGCTCGTCGTATGCCACCTTCCTATCTGTCTCGCCTCCTCCAGGTTATCTTCTGGTAAGTCCCACGTACATGCGACTCGATTTGTAAGGAGAAGCTCTGAGACCAGGTGTTGTCAACGCATCGGTCCCTGATTGCTGCTCGAGAAATAAGACGTTTCCTAACTTGGACAGCGTCCATCCAGAGCAAGCAAAGCATGGGCCAACGGGCGTAGGTATTGCACTCTTACGAGCCTAGGAAACAATCACGACTTGGCTTGGTGCACGCTTGACCTCAGGCAGGCCGCCATGAAGGTCTGCATGTGCACGAACTCTCACTTCCAACACCAGACTACTCGCGGTCTGAGTTGCAACGGCCGTGAGCCTGGATATGCGTATACCTCGGTCCCGCCACTGCTGTGTGGTTAGTTGGGAGAAGAGAGGTTGCCAAAGCCTGCAACCACGGTTCTATGTCCTCACCTGTCTTCTTGGGCTTATATGAGTGTCCAATAAATGTGACAGGGTTATTAGAACCCGTTGTGTCCAAAAGTGTGCTTTGACCGGACAACCGTGCCTGCCGAAAGGGCACCGGTAGGCGCCGCCGCTTCCGCGAACCAACCTTCCTTGTACTCTTCGCCCCCCTGCTGGCAACCCGCGAAAAACAGAAACCTTGCCGAGAGTTCGGTGTACAAGTTCGCTGCTGGCAGGGAGGCAAGGTGCCAGCGGATTGAGCGCGAGGGATGGCGGCCTCAGAGCTTTCGGAGCTGCGCGCCGAGCTTTGGCGAACACGCGACGACCTCGAGCGGATCAAGTCTCGTGGCACCCCGCCGAGCGCCGACTGTTCGCCCCGGCGGCACTTCGATCGCCGTCGCCACCGCGCTTCCCCTTCTCCCACCCTCGCTGCTACTACCGCGTGCGAAGTAAGAAATAAGGATCGTGACTACCGTCGACATCGGCACAGCGAGCAGCACAAGGGCGACGGGCTAGAGGCCGGCGGGGGGGCACGGGGTGATAGCGGTGGGGGGATAAGGAGCGGGCCCACCAGCCCTCCGACAAGCGGAGGCTCATCGCCAGGATCGGGGGCGGACTACGATGACGAGGCCCCGAGAGGTCTGGGCGGAACAGCCTCTTCTGGGTCTTCTCACGGTGGTCGGCAACTGAAGTTCGGAAGCAGCCGTGGCCGTGTTGGTAGCGCAAGCTCAGAAGGCGAGAACGCCGCGAAAGGCGGATCGTCGGAGGAGGTGGCTGCAGAAGAGACCCTCTGCAACCTGGAGCTCGAGGGAGCGGCGTTCAAGAATTGGACTGAAGAGGCCTCGTCGATCGCCGTCCGCCTCATCGAGGAGGTCAAGATGCTCCGCTGGGAGAAGGCCAGCTGGGCGGAACGGGAGCGCGCCGCCGAGCGCGCGTCAGAACGCGCGGCGGCGGAGGCTAGGGCGCAGGCCGACCACCTGGAGGAGCGCCTCGGCTTGGCCGAGGCCGACGGGAGGAGGGCGCAGGAGGCGCTGGCGAGGGCGCAGCAGGACGTGGAGAGGGAGAGGGCGCGAGCGAAAACGGAGCGAGCTAAGGCGGAAGGTCTCCGCGCAGCGGCGGCGACGGCGGCGGCCGCGGCCTCGGCGGCGCAGCAGGAGAAAGAGAAGATGCAGCAGGACCAACAACGGCAGGAGGAGGCGAGGCAGCGGCAGGAAAGGGATGCGGCCGCTGGCGGGGGAGGGGGATTGGTTGAGATGTTGAGGCGCGAGAAGGAGGGGGCGGATGCCTTGCAGCGGAGGCTGGACGCAGCCAGGGCGGCATCGGCGAGGCACGAGAAGGAAAGGAAGGAGTGGCGATCCTCGAAGGCGAGGTTGGAGGAGCTGCGCCGATCATGGGGGAAACAGCTGAATAAGGTGGGCGGGGAGGGGGTTCGCTTGCTCCTTTGTTCATAGAAACTCACTGCACCGCTAGAACCCTGGCGGGAGACGCTTTGGTCGGGTGGCGTGCGCGATTGTAGCAGATAGACAATGCATCGCCCAGGGACGAGAAGGCGCGCTTAGGGAGCCCGGAGAATGGTCCAACCTGTCACGGGTGCCCGCACTGGCAACATACGAAAACCCTTTTTTTTTCTTGTCATTTTTTAAACCAGAGAGCCACCATTGAGAATCAACTGGAGGGGCGACGGGGAGGGTAACATGTAATACGGTCCATTACAGAAGCAAAGGCGACGGTTTGCTTTATGCCGAGAGCGAGGGTTTCCCTCTTCGAAGAAGCATTGCTGCGAGCCATCATACTGTTGGGCCATCTCCGCAGATGGTGCTTACCTCCTTCGATCTCTCTCGCCAAACCTGTTTAACGGGAGGCATGCCGATGGAAATATCTACTCGATCTTTCTACACGAACTCTCACCTGTATCCCGTCTACGATGGATTTGGCGGGTCTTTGATGTCTGCTCGAGATCACTGATCAGATTCTATGCCCTACGTCATCAGGGGGTGTATATCCCGTGTCTGCCTACCCTCTGAGGGGGGTTTTAATCTTGGCTGGTCTTGTCTCACCCCCCCCCCGCCCCCCCTGTATTCAGGTTGAGAAGAAGATGCGATCCATGACGAAGGAGAACGCCGCCCTCCGAGCCAGGGTCGGCGAGGCGGAGCGGGCGAGGGACCGCGCCGATGCGGACTCCCTCGGCCACCGCGAAGAGCTCCGGCGGCTCACCGAGCAGCGCGACAACCTCCTCCTCGGGGCCACTCGCCTTGGTGGAAGGCGCGGCCTGGTGGCCTCCTCGCCAGCGGAAACCCTGGCGGAGCTCCTCGCGGCCGCCGCGGCCGGGGCTGCGGCTGACGCGACCGACGTCGGGCCGGGGGCGGACGGGGAGCTCGAGGCCCAACTAGAGCAGGCGAGGTCAGAGGCGAAGCTCGCGAGGGTGGCGGCGCAGCAGGAGCGGTTGAGGCGGGAGGCGGCGGCAAGGGAGAAGGAGGAGGCGGTGCGGCAGCTGCACCGGCTGATGGGGGCGGCGAGGAGGGCCGTGGGGAGGAGAGACTCGAGGCTCAAGTCGAGCCGGATGGAGACGGAGGTGGTCTGGAACGCGCTAACGGAGGCCGTTCGCTGACATGGCGCGCCACTCGAAGATGTTTGCTGGTATTTACGGACGGTGGGAGATGGTGTGTTCCGTCTGCGCTGCGGTGGATGCCATCAAGACGATGGGTGCGGCCGGCGTGCGGCCTGGTTGGTTGGCGGTTTATCCTCAACTTCCTCTGGCTTTTAACTTTGAACACTGGTTTGGTGGTGACGGGAAGCTTTTCCAGGATCTCACGAGCAGTGAGGTGCGGAGAGGTCAATGTAGCCACGGACATCCGTTCAAATCTTCAATTGTTGCGACGGTAGCGTGCTGTGTGGTGTATCGATGAGTTCGTCCGCAGCAAGACTGAATACGCACGCTGTGGGAAGGCAGTGCGCGGCTGAAACCGCGTAACGGGGGTCCATGAATCGCGGGCCAGGAGCAGCACTGTCTTGGGGATGCACTGCAGTTTAAAAGCCGTTGTGGACGAGATAAGTTACGGTGCAGCATATCATGTATAGAATGTACAGAATGGCCGTAGTATATCCAGAAGGCCGGGCCCCTTAAAATGCGGAGTAAGCTCCCGTGTAAACCAGGTGCACTACCGACTGTATATTTTGTCTTTTGTGACGGATCCCGAACAGTGTAATTACAATGGAGGTTAGGTAATCCATGGCGGCTAACGTCGGTTAAGCCAACAGCGGCACACGGAACGACGACCACAACGTTGTTTCGGTTTTCAATCACAATGAGGCGGGGGAAGGCAGTAGCAACGCTGATGAGCGCGCGAAGAATCCCCTCGCAAGGGCAGCACACGAAAAAAAAAAAAATCCGGCAATGCCTATTTAAAATGTTGTTGAACTGTTGAAACCATGCCGCGTTTCCATCGCGGGGTGTTAAAATACAGAGTGGCTTTGCCCGCCGGTTGGTAATTTTTCCCGATGGGTACCTCCGCCGGCATTCACCCCCCGCCCCCCCCCCCCCCCC